AGGGGCGTGCTGGGGCAGCCCACCACTACAGGTCCCCCTGCCATGGAGGCTATTAACAGCTGAAGCCCAGGAGGAGTGAAAGCCTCCTCCATACCAGTCACGGGGCCAGACATTGCTAGGTGGTCATTATTCTCTTGTGGAGTGTTGATGGCTCTGTTTTGTTTTACGGTTTCAGTCAAGCCTAAGGCAGTGTGCTCTGTGAATGCTAGCTCTTTTGTATTTGGATATCGGTTCTTTGCTATAGGGTGTGAATCAAATGTTGATTTCTGTACTGCAAATAGGTATCTATTTCTAAGTAAAACTGCTTACATTATTTTTTAAAGATTCATGGCGATTATAGCAGGGTGACACTTTGGCAGTCCTGTGGCTTTTCCAGCCACTCTCAAGCCAAATAGCAGCAATTTAGTAGTTAGCAATTAGCCTGACTGGTCTTGTGTTGTGTCGTATCGGGACCTGGGGCTGCTGCTCTGCCCAGGTACAGCAGGTAAGAAGGGTGTTGGATGGCTCTCATCTTTTCTTGCTCTCTGTTCCCCCCTCCCGCCCCTCCCCCACCCCCTCCCACCCCCGGTACACACAGTAGTGACATCTCTGAGGACAAAGAGGACAGGGACCGTGCTGGGTGCTTTGTGAGTTGGTGTCACCCTCCCTGAGATAGGCACTTCTCTAAAAGGGTGTCTCTACAGAGACTCACCCATTACAAGGGTCTCTCTCCTGGGCATCTCTCTGCCAAAGAGCTCTTGCCCAGCCTCGGAATCCACGGTCCAGTGAAAAGAAGCTACATGGGGCTTTCTCCCAGCGGGTTCCTCAAGGAAGCCTCTCTGCCATGGTAAAAAGACAACCAAAGAAGTGTCCCCCACCCCCTTCCTGTGCAGTGTCAAATCTGCTTCCAACCCTGGGAGGAGGGTATAAAAACCAGCCCACAGCTTCTCAGCCACCTGCCTTTGGCAAGTCCCCCGACACCCTAGGTGACATCACTCACTTCAGAGTCTGTTCGCTGTGACCAACACATCAGCCTTCCAGGTCCATGACTTGCCCTACTTACTTCTGCAAAATGGCCTGCATAACATCTCCTTCCCAGGGCTGCCCTAAAGACTGTAGGAGAGCTCTTTATAAACTGTTAAGGGTTTTGCATGAAGGGCTATTATTACTACATCTCATTCAGCAGTTGATAATCAGCACGGTTGTCCTGGATGTCATGAGTTTCCAGGCAGCTGTTCCCTTAAGGCAGGCTGGAGTGGCTTTCCTTCCTACCTTCCTATGCATATATGAGTGGCGGGATATGCTGGCTGATTGTTAGCAAGAAAGAGGGGAGCACTGAGGTAGAGTCACCTGGAATACCACAGATGGATTAGTCACTGGCGGGGAGGGGAATGTGTGAATCTCGGGACCTGTGTCATGTATTCCTGCTTGGGTTTGCCACTTTACCCTGCCGAGGGTGCAAAGCCTATTTCTGTAGGTGTTTCTCTTCCCCCTGAGGATCACGGGGCTCTGTGTTTGATCGCATTTCTCACCACCTACCTGAGAGAGATGCTATTAATGACGCAAGTGCTCCCTGCTGGGTGGCTTGCGTCCTGTGGGAGCCGAGAGTTCTTCTAACCCCAGAAAATGTTCCCAGTACACATATGACTGACTCATCATGGCCCTCAGACATGATCCTCACCTGTCCCCAGTGAAATGATAACTATGAAAGCAAGTGTGTCCTTTTTAGCCTAAAATTCTACCTTTTCTGACTCAGGTGTTAACTGTCCTTAGTACTTTTTAAATGTCCTTACTTAGGGAAGTGTTGCCGTGGCAGGCTCACTCAGCCCCCTCTGGTTTTTATTTGATCACCTGTGAATACTGAAGGGTGTTGGATGGCTCTCATCTTTAATAATAATGGCTCTCATATATAAGTGTGTGTGTGTGTGTGTGTGTGTGTGTGTGTGTGTGTGTGTGTGTGTGTGTGTTGTGTTTCTGGAGGATTAATGGTCAGAAGAAGCTAAATTATGCTTCAGGGACACATAGTTTAGTGTTTATGTATGTGTGCATGTGTATGTATATATGCAATGTGCATGTGTGTGAGTACATGTACAAGTGTGCACACACACATGTAGAGGCCAGAGGACAACCTCGGATATCATTCCTCAGGTACCATCCACCTAGTTTTTTCAGACAGGGTCTCTTGCTAGCCTACAGCTAGCCAATTTGTCCAGACAGGTGAGCCATCAAGCCCTAGGGATCTGCATGGCTCTGTCGCCCCAGAACTGGGATTCTAAGGACTCCACCATGCCCAGCATTTTTATGTCATGGCTTGCTATCCCCCATCCCCATCTTAGTGTCATAAGACAGCAAAGAGTGGTCTCTTCCTCCTGCTACATAGCCCTGAAGACATTACTCACTTGGGAACCCAGGCAGATAAAGTGGACTCTGTCTGCAAGCTGGCTAGTTACTATGACAATGAGGAAAGACCCTCCACAGTGAACTGGACCGGTCACTCTTTCCTTAGCTCAGAAGTTGTGAATTTGGTTTTAACCAAAACAAGTCACATGACCACACCAACCTTCAAGGCACCCAGAATATAATAGCTAAAACAAGTGGACAAATGACAGAGACTGCCCCTGGAGGCAGCAGTGAGGGACAGCTGCAGGCTGGGACACGGACAGACTTGGACTTGAATCCTTGCCCTCAAATTCACTAGCGGAGTTACCTTAAGCATGTCCCTTCTCTGCTGCAAGCCTCAGTCATCACACCAAGATGATAAACTGTGGAAATTATCAGGTCACTGAGGAGGGACCTGGGGCAGGGTGGAGCTGGGGCCTTGTGAATAGTTCAGAGAGTTTCAAATGTCAAGAATGATCTAGAATGGATAACAACACTGCTTTGAAACAAGCATACCACAGCCCTTTGCCAGTTTCTAAGACTATTCTGGTCCATTTTGACTTCTGGTCCTCTCTGCCAACCTCTGAGATGAGGTGAGCAGCTCATCTAGCTATAACAAATGCCTGGGGTGATCTGCATATAAAGACAACAGGTTTGTTTCCGGCTCAGTCCATGTTTAGTTGCCCCTGTGTTTTGAGCCTGTGGGGAGGTAGGGCATGATAGCCAGAGTATGTGGCTAGTAAGCCAAGAAGAAGCCAAGATCCCAAACCCCCTTCAAGGACACACCCCGGCCCCCGGGACCAAAGGACCCTCCACCAGCCTCTGTCCCTTGCATGTTCAATGTGGCTCATGTGCCTGACCTTTTGGTCTCAAGCTGGTTCTGAAAAATTGTGGGATCTTTAAGAGAGAATCTCTCTGGAGAAAGTGGCTTGTTGGGGCGAGGGCTTGAGGTCAGCAGCCTGGCCCTGCTTCCTGCCCACTTGATACTTCCTCACTAGAGGAGTGCTGCAGCCAGACACCTCACCCTCCTGCCACCGTGCCTTCCCCAACACAACAGACAGTGTTCCCTTGAACTCTAAGCCTAAATAAACCTGCTTGCTTTAACATGTTTACTTTTCAGTATTTAGTCACAGAAGTAAGAAATTTAAGTAATACAAGGTTCTGTCACCTGGCAGTCATATCATCCTGGGGACCCAGTCTTCGTTTAACCTGCAGGCCTTTGAGGGATATTCAAAACCCAAACTCTAGCCACAGTCACCACAGCCATCTTTACCGTCATTGTACAGAAATATTTGGTAGCTTGATGTATTTTCCTTCTTACTCTGAACCACAGAAATTAATGTAAACGTCATTTAAAGCATCAAGTAAATTCCGGTGACCATTTACTATGATCCAGGCAGTGTTCTGACACTGAAGTTGGAAAACTCCAGCCCACCAATTGGATCCAGCCCATCTGTTCATGTCAATAAAGCTTTATTGAAACACAGCCCCACCTATTTATGCATTCATTGCCTGTGTCTGGTTCACACTACAGCAGAGGCATCTCCTACTTGGAACAGAAACTACTTGACCAAAGCCCAAAATCTTACTAGCTGAGTGTCTGCAGGGAATGTTGGCCGGTGCTGTCCTACACAGTGTTTGTGTCTGCTAAGCATCATTTCAGTGTGAGGGTGTGGAAACTGGAGCCCCAACTGAGTCCCATCATGTGGGAAGTAATAGCACTATTCCTAGACCCTTGATATCACATGTTGGCCACCCAGCTTTTGCTGGAAGAATTCCTTGAAGTCCTTGAAGATGTCAAGTGACTTCTGCACTCTTGCTGTGGGGTTGTTGTTTAATAACACTATTTACCTGAAACATGTTCTTTTTTTGCATGTGTGTGCATACATACATATCTGTATGTCTGTGTGCACATGTATATGCATGCTTATGCATGTGCATCTGTGTGCATGCACGTGTGTGCACATACGTATGTGCATGTATGTAAGTTCATGCATGTGCATGTGTGTGGAGGCCAGAGGTTCACTCTGGGTGTCACTCCACCTTGGAGGTAGAATAGACAACTACCTTGTTTTCTGAGAAAGAGTCTCTCATTGGTCTGGAGATCATCAAGTAGGCTGGACTAGCAGGCCAGAGAACCCCAAGGGTCCAACTGATTGTATCTCCCCAGCATTGGGATCACAAGTGTGTGCCCCCATAGCCAGCTTTTTATATGGGTTTCTGGGATTCGAACTCCAGTAGGTCCTCATGTGTGTGCAGCAAGCATTTACCAACTGAGCTGTCTCCCCCAACCCATGAAACATTTTATTAATCGCCTACAGTGGAGAGAAAATGCTCATGCCAGCAGATGTCACCCTGTGCTTCCTCTGCCATTCCCTTGGAGGTACTCCAGCCACTGGGACCTGCTTCCCTCTTTGTGGGGACTCAGCTATGCCTCTCGAAGGCAGTCCCAGCAGGACACCGCACTTTACAGTCACCAGTGTGGACCAGGCCCATCACAGAGTGAATGGCCCAGAGGACACACATGTGGCAAGCCCCATCTGCCAGGATAAAGATGCACATCTACTGAGGTCCCCCACAGACCCCCCGGGGAATGGGCTGTGTCAAGGGCCTGCTGCTCTAGAAGCACAGACACATTTGTGTTTCTCACAGTACTAGAATTTATTGACTAACAATAAATTTACAGTCAGTTTCATTTGCTGCAATTTGCCATAGCTAGCTCTTGAAAAACTCAGGTGCTTTTATTCTGATACTAAGAATTAGTGTTAACTCTCAAGTCACACATTATACACCTCAGTGTGTGTGTGTGTGAGTGTGTGTGTGTGCGATTTACAGGTTACAGAGTATACAAAAGGACAGAGAGGCCACAGCACAGTTTAAGAAAGTCTTACCAGAGGCAGCAAGCTATTAGAGACACAAAAGTTCGCTGCATTGGTTAGATACGATATTAAGGGCTGGGGGTGCTGCAGAGACACATGCAGAAGTGCAGGGCTGCTGCAGACAAAGAGACAGACTGGCGGTAGCTTCAGGAGGCTGTATCAAGCACTGGCGACAGAGCTGAGCTGAAGCCCACAATCTGCCTGTTGGTTCTGTGGCACACACATTGGGTGGTCCGATGCCAGGTCAGTGGGGCCGTCACCACTGCAGGGCTGGTGGCTTCTTTAGAGGGTCCAGGTGGTACTTTTCATCCACAGGAGTAAATTGTTTGTGCCTCGTGGGTGGCACTGGGCAGGAGGCGGTTACCTACATGGACAGTGAGACAGAGTCACCTTGTCCCATTGTTTGAATGAGAGCATCCAAACGCTGCCTTTCAAACGGAGTCACCCAGGGCAGAGCAGAGCCCAAAGCCACTCCTTTACACAATATGGAGTTACTTAGAGCATAGCACAGCCTGATTATCCACAAGCTGTGCAGTCCACGAGCGGCAATGTCTCATGAACACAAACCGCAGTCCTCAAAGCAGTGGGTAAATACATATTCATGCACTGAATATATAAGGTTTGACAACAAACTTCAAGTGAAGAGGTTGAAATGATTCCCTGTGCAAATCACGGCCTTTACCAGGCCTATAATGAAACAGGTCTGATGCCCTTACCAGGACTCTTTGGGTCAGGAAACTGAGGCAGGAGGAAGTGACCGCCGTGCCCTGTCTCATAGCAGCTACATGGACCAGGGTTCAAATCCTGCCTTCGTCACAGAGCTGTGACTTGGACTGCTGGGTTCTTCACCATGTGTGAAAGCCAGCAAGGAGGGTGACTGTTTTAATGTCACATAATCCACTAGATTAGTAACTGCAGCACCCTGGGAAGCTGCTGCCCAACATCAGCGTACCCCAGAGTGTTTTCCCAGGCCACCCACACCTCAGGTTTCCACAGTTCGTGTTTATCTTGGCCACAGTAGTGGTTATTCCTCGGGTAGTCAAAGGGAGCAGGATGTGTTGCCCCGGGGTAATTATGTACCCACCGTCAACAGATGCAGTCTAGAGGAAGGAAGGGAGGGGTACATCCAGTCTGGTCCTTCTCTCCCCGTGAGTAAAACGGTACTTCAGCTAAGCTCCCCTTCCCAGAGCAGTGTGTCCGTGAGCACTCACTCACCCTCTCTGGAGAAAGGAAGATGTTTAAATACATGCTCCTCTCAAAGGTTCCACTTGGGCTGGAGATACGGCTCAGCAGCAGCTGGCTTGCCTCGCCTGTAGGCTGGGTTCCATGCCCAGCATTGAAAATAAAAAGTTCCTTCCATGTACTGTAGGAGAAATCAAGATCAGAGTCAAGAGTCAAAAAAGCCTAAGATTCAAGTCAAAAAAAAAAAAAAAAAAGCCACGTCACTCACAGGAGCCTAATTCTCTTCTGTGAGTCTCTTCTCTCTCCCCAGCTCTAGTCGGGAATCTGGGCTCTTCTATCTCCGGGCCTCAGTAAGCAAGAGCAGGGAGCTGCGCCGTTTATCAAATGTGTAACCACCATCACTGCCTTGTTATCTCCTGAGCCTTCGTCCCCCAGGCTCTCCGAACACGATGTCCACACCTCCTGCCAGCAATGGCGTGTTTGTCGTCATCCCGCCCAGCAACGCCAGCGGCCTCCGCCCACCTCCAGCCATTCTGCCCACCTCCATGTGCCAACCTCCAGGGATCATGCAATTCGAAGAGTCGCCGCTGGGGGCGCAGGCGCCCAGGGCCACCCAGCCACCTGACCTTAGACCAATAGAGACCTTCTTGACTGGAGAGCCCAAGGCTTTAGGGGTAAGAGAAGCTCCCCCACGTGACCTGAGACAAAACTGCTGGGCAGGTAGTGAGCCTCGTGCTCAGCGGGAGGTAGGGGGTTGGGCGGGGACCACGACACGCAGGCAGGGGATAAATGTGAGAATTCATTTGTGCGCCAGGCAGACAAGGCTTCCCTTCCCCCTTGGAGCTCACCAGATAAACAGTAAACAAATGACCAGAACTCCATCGAGGAGTAAGAATGATGGATGCGGGACCGCAACACCAGCAAAGACAGAACGCTCTCTCTGGGGAGAGGACACTGACGCTAAATCCTGGGTGTTAAAGCCAGCCCAGCAAGAGCTGGATGGGTGGAAGGATGTGTGAAGGCTAGGATTGCCTAGACTGAAGAGCAGCAAACGCAAAGGCCCTGAGGTGGGGACGGGTGTGGCTTGTTGAAGGAAGATCTAGAATACTGACATAGCTGGAATGTAATGAACGAAGGGAGACCTGACGGGGGATGAGAATGAAATGGTAGGCAAAGCCAACCCCTGTGGAGCTGACAGTCCGTGAAGGGTGGCTTCCAAGCCCTTCTCTAATCTCAAACGGCCTTAGATAGTGGTCTCTAAGAAGGAATAAAATATAGGTGGTAGGTGGGTAAGTGGATAAGATAGATGCTAGATGATGAAAGACAGGTGATAGATGAATATAATTAAGAGGATAATATAGATGGGTGGATGATACAAAAATATGCTTGGTAGATGAGAGATGAATAAATAAGATAGGATAAGTATATAGGTCAGACTAATATATGATAGAATAGATAATATATAATAGGTGGTGATTGATAGATATGATAGATTAAAAAGTAAGTGATGGGGGCTGAGAGATGGCTCGGAGGTTAAGAGCACTGGCTGCTCTTCCAGAGGTCCTGAGTTCAATTCCCAGCAGCCACATGGTGGCTCACAACAATCTATAATAGGATCTGACACCCTCTTCTGGCATGCAGGCATAAGTGCAGAGCACTTGTACATAAAATATAAATAATTTTTAAAGGTGATGGATAAATAGGCATGTGAATTGCTAAAAACAAAAGCTTCAAATTTAATTGAGGATTTTTAGTGTACAACATAAAATGAGTTTCATAATGTGTTTATACTTGTGCATCATTGTTCTTTGCTCGTAATCAAAGTTTTTTCGGGCCAAGAACTCATGAAACCAGGCAGCCCTCAGAACCAAAAGAGGTTCAAGCCCCACCCAACAGAATGAGCAGTGAACTTTCACAGGCCAACATATGTAACATATCTAACTCAAACCTGCTGGAATGCAGAACTCCATCCTAAAAGCTGCATCAGGGTCAGTGGTGTGTAAGGTGACTGGGGACAGCGAATTAAAATAAGATATTGGCCGGGCGATGGTGGCACACATCTTTAATCCCAGCAGAGGATTAGAGGCAGAGGCAGGTGGATCTCTGTGAGTTCGAGGCCAGCCTGGTCTGCAGAGAGAGTTCCACGACAGCCAAGCCTACACAGAGAAAACCTGTCTCCAAAAACAAAAGACATTCTAAAATGAGACATTGCTTCTAGAACCCTGGAACCGCTTGACAACTACAGCCCCACTCACAAATTATGCATTGGCCTGGAGCTGCTGGTGGGCTGAGGAGAGCTTGTTCTATCTTGATGTAATGCTCTGGCCTCGGTTTAAGGAAATCAGAGATGACTCCCCACTAGCTTTGGGAAGCCAGACCTGCGGAGGTTGGCCGCTCTCCCGAGAGGCCCGCAGGGGGCGCTGTGGAGCTCAGTGGCCTGATCCCTCGCTGCCTCCCACAGACGGTGCAGATCTTGATCGGCCTCATCCACCTTGGCTTCGGCAGCGTCCTGCTCATGGTTCGCCGAGGCCACCTGGGGATGCTCTTCATTGAAGGTGGCGTCCCCTTCTGGGGAGGAGCTTGCGTGAGTGCGGGGTTGTCGTCCTACGATGGGGCGTGGTCCTGCCCAGATCACCTCGCCCTGCCCCACTTCCAACATTTTCCTGCTTTGCCCATCCTAGGTCAGGATCTAACTCGCCCCCCAGACTAACCTGGGTGTAACAGTTATCACTCACCCCTAACCTTCATCATAAACCTCAGCCTGGTTCACTCCCAGTAAACAGCCAGAAACTGTGAGGAGCAAGCAGGCCAGAGTCCTAATCACACCCGGGCTACCTGCGTCCTAACCCCGCATCCACACCCCACCAGCAAAAACCCTCAGTTCCCTCTGTAGGTCCCAGCCCTGACTGGGCTGATCTCCAGGCCTTCTCCCTGCCCTGCGTCCATTCCTCTGGCCGTACCCCACTGGAGAACCAAATCAGGGCTTCCTTGTCTGCTCCTAGGTGCCAAAGAGGAGTTTTCAAGGTGGTACTGCTGTCTGTGGCACTACCAAAAGTGCCAGTGCTCTGGTGGTGGGCAACCTCCAGCTACTTCCAGGAAGAGCAGGCTTTGGGGTCAGCTTAATGGGTCTACACTGAAGCCCCACTGTGTATGATGGTGGAGTCCCTTCTGTGTATCCCAGACTGTCTCGGCAAGAGCTCAGAAGCCCCTAAAGGCGGAGCTCAGAAGCCCCTAAGGGCGGAGCTCAGAGAGGCCACCGCTGCTGAAACTCCACAGCTAGAGCTGAATGGCTGGGAACAAATTTTAAGTCCTGGCTCTAATGGTCCGTAGTGGACCCACGCTGGAGGAAAAGGCTGGCAAGCAGGGTCTAAGAAGGCCCTGTCTCAGGAAGAAACAAAGGCAGCAGTCTTCTCTGGGCTCCCTCCTGCTTCAAGTTCTCTCGCAAAATGTGCCCCGTGCACATGGTAGGAGGGGGGGAAATAAATCAGAGCCTGCTTGTCGGGCTCAGGAGACAGCAGGGTCCTGAGGCCTGGGCAGGCCATGTGAAGCTCGGTATTCAGTCTTTATCTTAGAACTTCGCAGGGCTCGGGAGATCGTTCAGCGAGCAAAGCCCTTGCGTGGCAAGAACCAGGGCTTGAGTCATGTCTCCATCACCCTTGTCAACAGCCAACCTGGGCTTGTAATCCCAGGGCTGGAGAGATGGAGACAGGCAGCTCTCCCTGGGCGTCACTGGTCAGCCCCACCAAGTCCAGGTAAGAGCGTCTCAAGAAACAAAGCAGGCAGCTCCTGAGGAGGACTGACACCCAAGGCTGACCTTGGCCCACAGGTGTGAGTACACACACACACACACACACACACACACACACACACACACATGCCCTCACATCTGGGGCTGTTGCCCAATTGAATATCAGCCCCATGAGAAAAGGATATTATCCATTTTATCCAGCTCTATTATGTTTTGACACCTACCTGCTACTTGGTAAATATTTGATGAGTGACTATTTGAAGGTGCATGTCCTATGAGACTTTAGTAATATGATGTCAATGAAAATGCATACCTTGTAAACTATGGCTTGAGGTCTCAAGACAGAGGCCTCTTTTTTGTTGTTGTTTGTTTGTTTGTTTGTTTGTTTGTTTGAAACAGAGTCTCTATTTGTAGCTCTGACTGTCCTAGAATTCATTATGTAGACCAGGCAGGCTTTGAACTCACAGAGATTTGCTTGCCTCTGCCTCCCAAGTGCTGAGACTAAAGGCATGAGCCACACGCCAGAGGACAAAGGCCACTTACAGAAGACTAAGACACCCTTAGAAATATACCTGAGATGCCTGGCCAGAGTGCAGACAAGAAAGCTTATGGTTCTCTGCCTGTACCTCTGTCTTCTTGACTGAACCTAGGCATGATGTGTCTTGGTCAGTGTCCCGGTCAAAACCTCATTGGGCCCTCTCTTCCCCACACAGTTCATCATCTCTGGGTCCCTCTCGGTAGCAGCTGAGAAAAACCACACCAGTTGCCTGGTAAGTCTGAATGGAGACAGAGAATCAGGGGTGGGGATGGGGCCCACTCACCTGGGTGGCACCCAGGACCTGGCCCCCATCTGCCCACTCATTTGGTCCATTCAACAAGCATTTCGCGGGGATTTTCTAAGTGTCCGTGGAAGGAATTTAGACATCCCAATACAGAAGGAAGAGATGGGACACTTGTAAAATGCCATCCAAAGTGGTAAGGGTCTAGAGATGAAGCCCTCACAGACATTCAGAGGATGCCATCAGGAAGGGTCCCCTGAAGAATAGCCACTAAGCTGTCTCAGTGGGTGGGCCTAGCCTGGGGGAACGGAAGTGGGGGGGGGCACCTGCTGCAAACCTGGCCCAGGAAAGCCACAAAGAGGGTCAAGTCTCCTCCCCAGCAGCTCCCAAGAGGATGAAGAAGCAAACGGAGGCATCGGGGCCTCTTCCTGGGGTCCCAGGGAAAGAGAAGAAAAAGAAGAGTGAGAAAAGAAAACCCAGCTACGTGCAGGGCTCATGGCCCCAACCCCAGGGCCACGGGAGGGAGGGTGCGGGAGGCTGGGCACAGTCAGCGGGCGCCTCTGGTCCTTTCTCCTCTTTGCCTCTTCTTGGTGCCTGTCCCTCCCACAGGTGAGGAGCAGCCTAGGGACCAACATCCTCAGTGCCGTGGCAGCCTTCGCTGGGACAGCCATTCTTCTCATGGACTTCGGTGTCACTAACTGGGTGCGGTGGCAGATGTCCCGAGAGATACTAAACCTAGAAGGATGATAAGGGCTGCAGGCAGGACTAGGGAAGACCCAATCAATCGTCCGCAGCCCTGGGCTGTTCCAGAGCCTGCTGCTCCAATAGATCTCACGCGTGTACTGACACCGTGGCCCTACCCCAAGATCGGGTGTGGGGGGGGGAAGGGAGATGAGGCCTGGTAGAATGGAAGGAGCGGGCCGGGGCTGGAGTCAGGTCGGCCGGATCCAGGCATACCTCTGCCTCTTGCCTGGGCAAGTTATTCTTGGTCCAGAGGGTCGCTTCACTTTTAAACTCGCGGTTTGACTTGACTGTGGTTTGGATCCCCAGGATGTGGGCAGGGGCTACCTTGCTGTATTGACCA